GAGGGACAGGGCGGGGACAGAGGGACAGGGTGCGGGGACAGAGGGACAGGGAGGGAGGACAGAAGGACAGGGCGGGGACAGAGGGGCCAGGAGGGGATAGAGGGACAGGGCAGGAGGACAGAGGGGCCGGGCAGGGACAGAGGGACAGGGCGGGGACGGAGGGGCGGGGCGGGGACAGAGGGGCGGGGCGGGGACAGAGGGCCAGGGTCTCCAGGGTGCTGATAAGGGCTGCTGAGGGCAGGTGCTGCCTCCACATCCCCGTGGGAGCCGAGCCCATTAGGATAAATGCTTTACCGTCAGGGGTAACTCCAGGATTCCCTGGGGCGGGTCTCCCTGTCCCTGTGAGTTCTCTCAGGGCAGTACAGGTTCCCAGGAGGGCCCTGTGGGTGGGGCCAGGGCTTGGTGGTGTTGTGGGGAGAGGAGGGGCGTTGGCCTGGACCGGTATCTGGGCAGGAAGGGGAGCCGGCTGGGCAGGGATGAGCACGGGGGGTGGCCGCGCCCTCTGCCAAGTTCCACCTCCACATGTCTGCTCCGTGTTTTCCACTCCCGGCCCAAGGTCTCCATGCTCCAGGGAGAAGGGGCAGCCAGGAGAGGCTGGGTGTCAGGGCTGAAGCCACAGCCCAGCCAGATGGACTCAGGCGCCCCGAGAGTAAGGGGGTGGGGGAGGATTGGGTGTCATCACCGGCACCCTGATGGCTTGGGGGCCTGGTCTCCCTCTTCTGGAACTTGTCTGTGAAGCTAGTATGTTAAGGTGCGTCTTCCTGATTGTGGACGAGGGGGCAGAAAGTTTCTCCACTAAACACCTGCAGTGTGCCTGGCCTCCACATTTGCAGGGCTGGGGCCTCTCACCTCCCTGACACCAGGCTCATCCCAGGGGCTGGTGAGGCCGAGTCAGTCCTTCATGCAGGGACCTGGGGCCAGGGAGGGACGGCTTTCACTGAAATCTCTGTGCAGCTGCTGAGATCCACGGTGGCTACTTCCTGAGAGCTGCTCTCCACTCACCTGAAGGGCCACAGAGCCAGGAAGACTCAGGCCCCCGTGGGAATTCGAGCCTTGCTTATAGCTCAGGGGCATCTAGAGAGTTGGCAGCTCCCCCTTCATCTGAAGTTTGGGGAGGTGGCTGCACACCTCAGTGGTTACCCACACCTCCAGGTGTCCAGGGATCTTCCCGGGACCCCAAGCCCAAGGCACAGAGCTTAGCCATGGCGTGGAGCGCAGTGAGACCTGGGAGGATGAGCAGCCGAGAACTGTGCATCCTCCCAGGAGGACGGGCTTGAATGCCCCTGTGACGGGGAGCTCACTCCTCTGGAGGATTTCTGTTTCTTCCATGGTGGCTGTAACTATTTGAACATTTAAAAAATATATTGTTTCAAAAATATTTTTCCATTACTTCCATCCCTTGAGTGACCTGTGCATTTCCCACAGGATACACAGAACACGCTACAATATGGAGCATGGCTCTGGCTCCTGGGCCTCCAGAGCCGTCTTCCAGGCGTCTATGCACATTTTTCTAAGAGCTCCCATAGACGTAACTGGGCTCTGGTGACTCCTTGACCACAGGCTCCGGCCTGCAAGGAGGAACAGCCGGAAGACAGTTGCCTGAACACCTCAATCCAGGGATACTGCCCCCCCAGCCTGAGGACAGCCGCCCACCCCTCAGCCCGGGGACGGCCGCCCACCCCCTCAGCCTGGGTATCACCACCCTTGCCCTCTACCCAAGGACAACTGCTCATCCTCTCAGCCTGGGGACAGCCGCCCACCCCCTCAGCCTGAGGACGGCTGCCCGTGCCCCTCAAGAACAGCTGCCCTCTCCTGCCTGCCGCTGCCTGGGCTGATGCTCTCAGGCAGCCCCACGGTCTCTCCTCAGGGCTGGGTCAAGTTGGGCTCCACTTGCCCGGGACTCCAGGCTCCCTGCTCACCTCCAGTCTAGTAGGAGACAACCGTGTTCAAGGAGACAAAGTCTCCCAGGGCAGAGGGCTGGAGAACCAGAGCCGGAATGCTGTTTTGCCGTTTACTCTAAAGAGCAGCGGAGCTTGCGTGAGGAAACAGGCACGTGCTCCCAGGACATCTGGAGAATCAGATTTGAAAAAAAAGATCTTCACTGGGGTGTGAGATCAAAACTCAGAAGCAAAAAATATAACCTAGGTTTAGCCTGGAAAAAAAAGACTCAGTCTGAGGCCACAAATCACTCCTGGGGCATCTGTGAGCGTTCTGCACCAGAGCCCGGACCAGAGGGTGAGGAGGCTGCACCCCAGGGTCCCGGGCAGGAAGAGGAGTCCGGGCGCTGAGCCGGACGGGGGAATCCAATCTGCTGATTCGGAGGTGAGTGGGACAGGCACGCACGCGTGCAGGCCTCGGAGGGCGTCCCCTGAGCGCGGAGTAAGTGAGGCCAAAGACAAATGGAGGTGGACGGGCTCAGGGTTTCCACTCAGCCTGCTTTTGAAGCCTCTCTGGCACCTGTGCTGAGCTCTCAGGCATGGAGAAGGGGCTGGTTCCCCAGCACAGGCCTGGTGAAGGCTCAGAGGCTGGGAATACAGAAGCCTCTGTTTGGGCCAGGGAGGTGTTTACAGACCAGGCTGGTTTTAGGAAAATGCTCCCATTCCTTAAGAACATTTGGAGCAGATGATCTCAGGGAGCGGCTGCTGGGCTGGGAACGGGCTGTGTGGTGGTTTTTAACAGCCAGGACAGACGACAGAAACAGGCAGGAAGAAGTCAGGACAGAGAGAGGGCAGGGGGCCCATCTCCATTTAACAGCCGGCGTCCTCAGAAGGCACAGCCTGTGGTGGCCAGCGCCTGGCTGCGTGGCTCCGTGGCGTCCTCAGAAGGCACAGCCTGCAATGGGCAGCGCCCGGCTGCATGGCTCCGTGGCGTCCTCAGAAGGCACAGCCTGGGGTGGGCAGCACCCGGCTGTGTGGCTCCGTGGCGTCCTCAGAAGTCACAGCCTGGGGTGGGCATCGCCCGGCTGCGTGGCTCTGCGGCTGCCCCTCTTGGTGCCGCTCTGGACTGAATGTCAGATTTGGGGAATGTGTGTTTGTTGGTAGGGAATAACCTCCAGAGTGAGCCCACCCCACAGGAAGGGAGGTGGGAATTGTCCCGAAAGTGGGGGGAGATTTTCCACAGGAAATATTGGGAGAGACAGCAAGGCAGCCAGGTTTGGAGCCTGGGGGTCCTGGGAGCCCCCTGCATGGGGCTCAGGCTAGTCTCACACTTGTCCTGGGAGGACTGACCAGGTTCGGGTTCTCTGCTCTTACCCACTAATTCTAGACCTTCAGGAGGGCCTGTGACAACCACATTTGACCTCTGCTCATGGTCCTGGAGGTGCAGCGGGCAAGTGGTGAAGGAAACCTGACAAGTGGGCAGTGGTCACTGAGACCATGGGCTGAGACCCCTGTGAGAGCCCAGCAGGGCAGTGCCCGCAGGGGGTGGAAGTATGCTGGCGGGTACAGAAAGGGAGCAGGGTCCCTGCAGGATCCGGCGCAACTCGGAAGAAGGAAGCCCCACCCCCCAAGAGACCCAGTATCTCCCAGACCTGTGCCCTCAGCCCAGGGCCTGGTCAGCGCAAGGACAGCAGCCCAGCAGGTCTGGGGGGTTCTCCCGGAGCAGCTGGTGCGGAGCCCGCGGGGCAGGAAGGAGGGAGGCAGGGGACGCCTGGACGCAGGAGTGCCACGTGGCACTGTCCTTGTCGCGACCCTGAGGACTGCGCCAGGAATCATGGGGTTCCTGCCAGCCGCCCTCAGAACGAAACCGTGCATGGCTGACGGGGTGAGCTCAGCGAGTCACCTCCCCTGATCTAATCTGGGGCCAACACACTTTCCTTTGGAGTTTATATTTTTTCCTAAGTTGACTCACATTCCTGCCCATTGTGTGTTCTGTTTGTTCATAGGTTCATGCAGATGGGATACCTCCAGTCTTTTTCGGAAGAAAGGTGGGATATAAATACAAATGTATGAAGTCTGTATATCCACCAGCAAAGCGAGACATGCTGCTCAAATCCATGAGGGATTGCTGTGTAACAAATTCAACTATTGCTAACTGAGCCTGCTCTATTTTTAATGAACTGACTGAAAGTTTGTACAGTTTAAGATAATAGGACCTTCAAGCTGTCAGATAAAGAAAGGCTTATTGAAATACCTCTGTCAGCCCTCCCTGTAAGCCACATACTTTACTTAGATAAATGGCATGAACTTGGCTTATTTTTATGAATAAGGGATTCATATCTGTTTATTCTGTCATGTTGTGACTGTTTTCCTTTCCTTGTCTGCCTTCTCTATGTCTCTGTGATCGTTTTTGGTTTGTTTGTTTGAGAAGGAGCGTGCAGTGGTGCGATCTGGTATCAGTTCACTGCAACCTCCGACTCCCTGGGTGAAGCGATTCTCCTGCCTCAGCCTCCCCAGTAGCTGGGATTACAGGTATGTGCCACCACGTCAGGTTAATTTTCATATTTTTAGTAGCGATGGGCTTTCACCATGTTGGCCAGGATGATCTCGATCTCCTGACCTCGTGATCCGCCTGCCTCGGCCTCCCAAAGTGCTGGGATTACAGGCATGAGCCACCACGCCCGGCCATCTTGTGATTCTTTAGACCATAGTCCGCTGTTCCAGCCCCAGGCTTAGCACAGGGAATGGGACGGAGGGGCTGGAAGACGCTTATTGAATATTTGGTGAAAAATGAAGTGGGGGGAAAACACAGGAGTGAATTGGGGGGCGAGGGGCGGCTGTGAGGGAGCGTGACCTCCGCTCCTGGCCCTCCAGCGTCCAGGGACAGCGGCAGAAAGAGAAGAGTGACCAGAGGGAGGGAGGGTGCAGCAGGCCTCTGAGCATGAAGACCCGTCTCCACAGGGGAGTGGAAGGAGCGCGTCTGCATGTGGCCGAGGGCGTGCGAGGATTGTGAGCGGCTTGGTGATTCCCTCCCTCTCCCACTGCCACAGGATGAGGCCACACGAGGCCTGGCAACAGCAGTGGCTCCAGCTGAAGAAAACCCTGGGTGGTCACACAGGCGTGATGGCCAGCTGCGTTCCCTGTCCGTTTCTTTCCAGCAAACACTGTTTGCCCGAGTCAGGCTGGTGAGGACACAGAAGAGGGACCTGTTCTGCGTCTCAGGCATTTCACAACTGTGGCGATGCTGTGGCAGCTCTTACGTGGTTCTGTGGGTTCTGCTGGGTTCTGCTTCGGTGTGAAGCTCTGCAGATGTGCAGAGGGGATCAGCTCTGGTTTCTGATCAAGCAGGAAATCCCACGTTCTCACTTAAAAATGAAACTGGAAGACAGCACAACTTTATAGCCATGCTCCTATGGCCAGACACGGGACAAAAAGATTTGTAACAGAAAAATATGTGGTGAAATGACATTTCCTGTGTGTTTTTGGCTAACCAGTCAGAAAAGTTCCCATGAGTGAGAGAGGGTTCCTAAGAAACACGCTCCTGTATTTATTGTAAAGTCTTCACGGATCTCTAAGTTTCACAAACAGGAGACGAAACCACGGCTACGAAGAAGAACTTGGAAATCCCAGACCACGATGAAGACGCAGTCCTACAGTCCCACAGGATGACGTGTCCAAGCTTACAGTGTCATTGCTTGTCTCAAGGAGCGTCAGGAGTTAATGACGGGAACTTTTTGGTTTTAATAAAGTGGATTCTGTGCTGAGGTCTTATGGGTTTGCAGGGTTTGGAGGAGGATATGACTGAGGGGCGTCGGCCTTGACATTTGTGGCAATCACTTAATTTACCAGCGAGGAATTCCATTGCTGGGAACTGGCGGGCAGTTTTGTGAAGAAGGAAGCAGGTGGGAGGGAGACAGAAGAAAACGGGGTATGAAAAAGGATAGTTTTTGTGGTTTACGAAATTCATGGAGAAGCAGCCACGGGGTAAGTGTGTACGTGTCTGATGGCTCTTGGTGAACCACAGCCTGCTTGTTTGGATTGCTGTGGAGAGCCGCCGCGGTAAGCCGGCCTCCCTGTGGGAACGGGGTCCACGGCTGCGCAGCACAGCCCCTCCGCCAGGAATCTCACAGGATCCCGGGAGGAAAAGCCTAAAGCTGCCGCCATTGGAAATTTCCGAAAGAGCAGGGCTTTGTCAGGTGTTCTTGGGGGTGAAATAGTTTCACAATCCACACAAGCAAATAACTGACCTCTGGTTAGTTGATATTCATTCTTCCCCTTTGCTTTGATTTTAAACCTCTTTTGGAGGGATATTTCCTTGGTTTCTTTTGCTAGAAAAGTTTCTTCCCCCTAAAAGAAGAATATTTTCAGTGCTACAAACTCCAGAGCACAAGGATTTGGATGAACTTTCTGTTGAAACACAGCACTTAGACAGCAAGGTCCGCAAATCTCAGCTTTTAGCCCAGTGAAATTTGACGGTTTAACACCTTCAAGCAGCCTCCCCTCAGTCAAGACAGAATCTGGCGTGCTGCACATTCGTTACCACAGATCCATCTTGCCTAGTTTTATGAACTCCATGCAAATAAAACCACACAGCACGTGGTTTTCCGTGTGTGCCATTTTCCACTCAATGTCCTGTCTGTGCTTCATTCATGTGGTTTTGGGTATCTGTGTGTTTTCTGTCGTTGTTCTGTTGCGTTTCCTGTTAAATACACGTTACTCCATTGCTGCTTCTCCATAAATTTCCTCAACCATAAAGACTGTTCTTTCTCATATGCTGTTTTCTTCTCTCTCCCTCCCATGGTTTATTGAACCATTCAAGTACTGATGGACAGTTTTTGGTTTTAGGCTATTACAAACAAGGTGGATACGAACAAGTCTTCTGGTGCACATGTGAATGCACTGCAGGTGGCTACCTGCCTAGAAGTGAAGCTGCTGGGTGTGATAGAATTCATGCATGCTCAGTGGTATAAGGCACCATCAAGATGTTTCCCCAGTGGCTTTACTGATTTACATCCTCACCAGCGAAGGATCAGAATTCCAGCTGCTCCAAGTCTTTTTCAGCATGTGACGTTGGCAGCATTCAAGTGCAGGCGTTCTGGCAGTGAGGAGTGGTATTTCACCGTGGCTTTACTTTGCATTTGCTTGATGATTAATGAGGTTGAGCACATTCAAATGTGCCTATTGGTCATTTGAACATCTTTTGTGAAGTGCTTAAGTCTTTTTCTCATTTAACTTCTCATCAATTTGTTATTGATTTGTAACGTGTTATATTACATATATATCCTTAAACATATATATAAGAATGTATGTCCTTAAATTTTAGATGAGTTATTTTTCAGGAATATATATATATTACATATCTTCTCTCAATTAGTGCCTTTTATTCTCTCAATTGAACAGAAGTTCTTAATTTTCATCAAATCCTATTTGTTAATCTTTTCCTTTGTGGGTGGGCTTTTGTGTCCTGTTTAGGAAAGATTCATGAACCTTAAGATATTTTCCTATGTAATCTTCTAGAAATTTAACAGTTTCACCTCTTATTTCCAGGTTTGATAGTAACTTGGAAATGATTTTTAAATATATCACATTGCAGGGATTCAGGTTCATGTTATTACTCATACATAGCTGACCCGGTGATTGTCAGCTGAAGAAAGAGGAGGTTCATACATTTGGAAAGGAGGGCTTTGTTTCTTGTGAAGGGTGCAAGAGTGGCCATTTTGACAGGCTGGGAAGTGTAGCCTCCAGTCAGAAGTTGGAAACAGATACTTCATGGGTGGAAAGAATAAGACAAAAATTTATTCAGAATGGGACATCCAATGTACATACTTGATAAGCTACAAAAACCATGAATATTTATGAAAAGAAGAACATGTACACGTGCACCTGAGCGTCTCGCTTCTCTGTGGATCGAATGATCAAAAGCTGGCGGTGTTAGCGTGATCTGAGGGTGGCGTTTTTGGCCCTCTGACTTCAAAAGCTGATGCAGAGGATATGAAAACCCTCCCTGCACATTCTCTGCAGAGTGCCAGAGCTACTCCATGGCCAGTGGGCTACCATCAGGAAGGAATGCTGTTGGTTGTTGAGTCAAGATCTTAGAAAGGGAGGGTGCGTGATGAGGCCAGTGAGTCAGCAGCGGAGCAAATCTCCAAAAGGGCTGGTTTCTGCTTCGCTCTTAGGGAAGGTAGACTCATGGCGGCAGTGGGGGAGGGGTGCAATGAGGCGCACCCTACCTCCCGTCCCATCACAGCCAGGAACTCAGTTCAAGTGTTTCTGGGGTCCCCTTGGCCAAGAGGAGGGCCGTTCAGTCAGTGGGGGGCTGCAGATTTCGCGTTTTACTTGTTCAAATGTTTCTGGGGTCCCCTTGGCCAAGAGGAGGGCCGTTCAGTCAGTTGGGGGCTGCAGATTTCGCGTTTTACTTTCCATGACACGTGTTTGAAACAGCGTGTTCTCCCCACAGCCCTGCATTCTCACCTCAGTCATCACTGAGTGGCTGCACATGTGTGTGTCTCTGTTTCTAGAATTTCTGTGTGGTTTGTTGGCCTTGCGGCAACACTATTTTAACTGCTATTGGCTGATAAAAGTTGTCTCGATGTCTGGTGATGAGAATGCTTCAGCTGCGTTCCTCTCCGTCAAGACTGTCCTCGCTGGTCTGGCCCCTGGGGCTTTCCATATGTATCTTAGTATCCACTTGTCAATTTTCACCAAAAACACAACTAAAGCCTGCAGGAGCTTCGACTGGTATTGTATTGAATCTGTAAGCCAATTTGGGCTCACTTGACAATTTTGACATTTAATCCTCCAGTTTGTGAAAGTGGCGTATGCCTATCTTTATATAAACTTCTTTAATTGGTTTCAAGAACATTTTTTTCAGTCTTTTATAAAAGTTTTGCAAATTTTTGTTATATTTATTTCTTGGTATTAATATTCTTAGGGTATTGCAATTTTTTTTAAATTTCGCTTTCTAGATGTGCTAGTATACAGAAATGCAACTGACTTTTGAATGTTGAACTCATATTCAGCTATCTTAAATTAACTTATTAATTTAAATAGTTACAGGTTTTTTTTGAAGTTCCACATTCAAAATATTTTTGTTTGGCTAAATAATGAAGGTTTTATTTGTTTACGTCTAACTCTAACTTTTAAATTTCCTTTTCTTACCCCATTGTCTCAGTTGGTACTTCTAGTACAATACTGAAGGAAATGGAGATAGTGGAAACCCTTGTCTCATTTCCAATTCTGTTAGCTGTGCCTTTAGTATTCAGCTGTTGCATTGGTAATTTTGTAAATACCCTTTGTCACATTTGGGAAATATCCTTATGCTTATGGTTAACTGAGGTTTCTTTTTAATTTTTTTTAATCTAAATTATGAATAGATGTTGAGTTTTATTATATCATATTTCTGTAGTCATTGATATTATCATATAGTTTTTATCCTTTATTCTGTTATGTTGCTTTACTATGACTGATTTTAAATATAAAACCCACTTCCATTAATAAAATACATCCCACTAGGCTTAACATATGATTCCCTTTACATAGTATTATAAATAATAACTTTTTATTCTTATGAAATATCCTTATCTTCAGTAATACTCCTTGCTTTAAAGCAGGGGTGTCTAATCTTTTGGCTTCCCTGAACCACATTGGAAGAAGAAGTGTCTTGGGCCACACATAAAATACACGAACACTAATGATAGCTGATGAGCTAAAAAAAATCACAAACAATCTCCTAATGTTTAAGAAAGGGTATGAATTTGTTCGAGCCACCTTCAAAGCCACTCTGGGCTGCACGGGGCCCACGGGCAGAGGGTTGGACAAGCTTGCCAAGTCTGTCTTTTTTCTTCATTAGTTACATCAGTTTTTAAAACTGGATATGTTTGCTTTTGAATTTTGTGGTGTATCTTGTTCAGTCTTTTACCCTGTTACTTCTTTGTGCTGATGTTTAAATTAGCTCTGTTATAAGCAGTGTGCCCTGGGATCGTTTATTCTATCAAGGAGAGATCATCTTTGTTTTCCAGTTAGCATATTTAGTCGATTTACAGTTAACACCATTACTGTTGTATTTTATTTTAAATCCACCATCTATTATTTTCTATTCGCCCCATGTGCTTTTTGTTCCTTTTTCCCCTTGTGTTTTTTATGATTGAATCAATATTTTTATTACTCTATTTCTGCCTCTGAGCTTATTGTTGACATTTTTGCTATTATTTCAATGGTTACTTTATACCAAAAATCCACCTTTGACATCATCTGTCCTAAATTATCACATTTACATCATGTAAGTCATTTCACTCTTCGTGCTTTGTCTTGCATTTTATCAGGTTTCAGGTGCATGAAACATTTTTATTACTGTCTTAAATATCAGCTCTTTATGTAGGTTTACTTCAAATACTTACCCTTTTGTGTACCCTTTCTTACTTTTAGCATTTCCTCTCTTCCAAAACACTTGTCCTGCCTCATGTCCGTGAGCTCTGGTTGTCTGGGACATCTCTGTTTCCGCCTTCCTTTTGGAAAACCATCTCTCTTGGGCATGGATTGTTGTGTGTGGTCTGTAAGCACGTCAGTGCCATCACTACACGCCTTTTGGTTTCTGTCTGTTGAGAAGTGAACTGAGGCTCTAAATGTGGCTCTTTGAAAGAGTCGTGTTATTTACTCTCGGTATTTTTAAGGTTTATCTCTTTGTCTTTGGTTTTCAGATTTATTCTGATGACACTAGTGTCAAAAGCTAAATCTGTGAAAAGTCTGAGG